ACATATATAGACACGCATACTGTATAGTGTACCTCATTCATGTTTAGATTCCATTGGAACACCATGGAAGTCTGGACCTAACAGGAGATTTTCCCCACCAGAACCACACCTATTGGCATTCTCGTTGTTTCAATTATCAACAAATTGATTATTTTTTGAGGCCTTGCTTATAACTCATTTTGTGTTAGCACAATGACCAGACAATATAGTGTTACTGAGGCCTTCAGTCATATATCTTGGATCGTGACTCTGGTGACGAGGAGCAAGGCCAGGAACCTGACATGAAAGACGGTGAAGAGAGAAAGAGTCAGTAGCTGAAGACAATGCAAAGAGACCATCAGTGACGATGAAGAGAGACCTGCTGAGGTGTTACTTTTCCTTAAAAGAGTAGGGGAACTATATATATTGTTCATTTTATGACAGGGTTTAGTATCACATGGTTAAATTGTCATCTCTAGTTTGGGGCCTGTCAATTTTTTACTATTAAAATCATATTGGTCAATTTTCCCAGAACACAAAAAATTATTTGGAGCCACTATCATTTTTTTTTTTTTAACAATTTAAAACAAACATTCTTAATAAGTCAAATCAAGTCAAGGTTCTTTATTGTCATTCTCATCACACGTGGTACATGTGATGGAACAAAACTGTGTACACAGGGTCCCAGTTGCATCCAACAAAAGTATCAATCGTAAAGGGAAAAAAAAGCATTAAGAAGGCAAAGTACTGGGGCAAATTAGTACTCATTGTTTGGAAACAATGCTGCTTCAGGATTTTCTTCTTTTTTTTTTTGCTTTCGAAGATTACCACAGAGTCTTATGTTTCAACTGAACGAACCCTTTGGCCCAACTTCAAATTTGACTTATTTGGGTTCAGCTACTCAAAATTATTTAATCTTCAAAGACCTGGTTTTTTTATTTTATTTTACAAATACCATGACGTCCATTTGCATGACTGCGAGTGGTATGTTAAAGCTTTTCATCTGGCCAAACACAGGCCGAGGCATTGGGCCCATTGATTTTCACACATAATGTTCAAGTCATCCAAATCAGTTAAAGAACTGCCAGAAGGTTATACTTAAAAAAAACTCAAAAGCCAAATACCGATAATCTAGACTTTAATTGTTTTGTGTGAATGTGGCATTGATTTAAGCTTAAAAAATAAAAAAAATAAAAAAATTCCACACACATAAAATCTGTAATGATTTTTTTAGTTTTGTTTTGTTTAGTTTTGTTTCAAACACAATGATGTGAACTTCATTGACATGAGGATGGTTGTCATAGAACAAATCAGTTCCACAAAGCAGCAGACTTTAGATTCTCTATTATTATTCAGAAACAATACTGCAGAATTACTTTGAATTGACTGGATGTTTTATATTTTGTCATACCTGCTTATGTTGTATCAAAGCATCACACCTTGCATCAGTTGCATCAGTTTCTCATTTAGAAAGCGAGCAACTTTGAGGAGATGTTAGGACAATTCTGTGTGCATTTACTGCCACCATGTGGATTTAGTTGAAAATATCAGTCCTGGTTTCAAAGAGCACATCTAATTTTATGCAAAAGCTTAGTAAAAATTAAAATACTAGTAAATTTTGAAAAAAGAGCAGAGATAACTATATTCCAGCTTTTTTTTTGTTCTTTCATTACTAGAATTATATAAAAAAAAAAAATTGTGTTAAACAATTTAATTCAAGTTTTAACTATGTTTCTGGGCCACCTTTGAAAAAAAAGCTGAGATCTCAATGAGATTTGCCCAGTTAAATAAAGATGATTAAATCGTTTTAAATTAAAATTATTTTGGTGACTAGATAATTTATTTTTCTGTGAAAATTTAGTGTGAATGCTGAGCTATCATCCATCCATCCATCCATCCATCCATCCATCCATCCATCCAACCACCCACCCACCCATTCAATTCAATTCAATTCAAAAATACTTTATTAATCTCAGAGGGAAATTAAATGTTGTTGTAACTCATCATCCTGGTTTCATTAAAGAGTTGTTCTAGATGCTGATGGCTGTTGACTGGAAGGATCTCTTGTAGCGGTCTGTCTTGCAGCGGATCTGAAAAAGCCTCTGACTGAAGACACTCTGTTGTTGTATGACAGTCTGATGAAGAGGGTCAAGTCAAATTTATTTATATAGCATATTTAAAACAGTAACTGTTATCAAAGTGCTTACCAAAAAAGATCACAGCATCACATATTAATAACAAGATATTACAGCAACATGAATAAAAGCATAAAAACATTAAATATAATGAGAAACAATGAAATACTAAATCAAATCACCCTGCGTTAAATGTCAGGGAGTAAAAGCAAAATGGATGAACACAATCATCAACAACGAAATACCAAATGAGATCACACTGTGTTAAATGCCAATTAGCAAAGATGTGTTTTGAAGAGAGATTTAAAAATAGAGACTGAGGTGGCCTGTCGAATGTTGATGGGCAGATTGCTCCAGAGTTTAAGGTCCATGACAGAAAACGCCCGATCTCCTCTGAGCATCAGCCTGGTTTTTGGTAAGGCCACAAGCAGCTGGTCTGATGATCTCAAGGCCCGAGAAGGAGTATAAGGATGAAGGAGGTCGGAGAGGTATGAGGGTGCAAGGCCATTATTATACTTAAATGTCAGCAGAAGAATCTTAAAATCAACTCTGACACGCACAGGAAGCCAGTGAAGGGAGGACAGAACTGGAGTAATGTGCTCAAACCTGCGAGTTCCTGTTAGTAGCCGAGCTGCAGCATTTTGGACAAGCTGGAGACGTGAGAGAGAGAGCGACCTGACTGACCCCAGCATAAAGCAAGTTACAGTAGTCCAGCCGGGTTGTAATAAATACATGGACTAATTTTTCTAGGTCGGATCTGGACAGGACGGACGTGAGCTTAGCTATCTGCCTTAGCTGAAATAAGCTTTTTTGAAGAACAGAATTTATCTGCTTATTAAACTTAAAGTCAGAGTCTAAAACAATCCCAAGATTGGTAACAGACTGTTTTAGATATGGTGCAATTTAGATAGGGTGCTGAGGGTTGTCTATAATGTTCTTCATTTTATGAAGAATTGTTTGTACAATTATCTCCACATGTTCTAGAGGAGTCCCCAGAACTGAGCCAGTATTCTTTTTTTTTTTTTTTTTTTTTTTTTACCTTTTCCTTTTAGCCATCCTATTTGTTAAAATAAAAAAAAAAAAAAAAAAAAACCCTGCAGTATGACTTTTTATAACTGTTTATTGTTGTTGCTGTTGTCCATTGTTGTCATCTTTCTTTGTTGAAATCAGGTCTCTCTTGTAAATGAGTCCTCGAGGCTCAATGGGATTTACCTGTCTAAATAAAGGTTGATTGATTTATGAGCTTGTTGATATTTTTACGTCACTTGCTCTGGTGCTGCTACCCCAGCAGATGATGGCAGAAGAGATGTCACTCTCTACAACAGACTTATAGAAGATAAGCAGCATCTTGCTGCAAACATTGAAGGACTTCAGCTTCCTCAAGAAGTACAGTCTGCTCTGTCCCTTCTTGTAGACGGCTTCACTGTTGCATCTCCAGTCCAGTCTGTTGTCCAGGTGAATCCCAAGGTATTTATACTTCTCCACCACCTCCACTTCTTTTTCCTTGATGGAAATAGTGTTGGACCTGTTCCTGTTTCTCCTGAAATCTACAATTATCTCCTTTGTTTTGTTCACATTCAAGATGAGATGATTGTTTCCACACCATGCCATAAAGCAGTCCACTAGATCCCTGTACTCAGCTTCTTGTCCATCTCTGATACATCTGACCAATTCAGAGTCATCTGAATATTTCTGCAGATGACAGGAATCTGTTGTGTACTGGAAATCTGAGGTGTACAGAGTGAAAAGGAATGGTGAGATTACAGTCCCCTGTGGTGAAAAATTGTCTAATTATTGTTATTATTAACATTATTATTATTATTATTAGTAGTAGTGTAATGTTTACATGACTTCATGTAAAAATTTATTTATCTTCGACAGAATGTGGAAAAGTGCTTTTTGAGCCTCTCGGCACGCCGTACTCGTACTATACGTCTTCGTTGATGACGTATTACGGCTGGATTCCAGTACTGTTTCTTCTTTTTAGCAAGTATTTTTGTTAGTAGGGTGATAAAATGTTTCATCGCGTCAGATAATCGTTAGTGGAGTGAGCCCCACTATAAATTCACTGTTCTTTTTATTTAAATTTCTGCTGTTTGGACAAAAATGACCGATTTGACCGGTTTTCTGGCGAAAGAGGGCTGGTAGGTAGCATGATAGCTAACTGTGCTAGCTGTCCTGGTGCACATTAGGTGTTGAATAAAATAATTTGTCTGCAAGTTAAAATTCTGGAAGCAAACAACAGCATGAAACTTCCACATTGACACATTTATGCTAGTTGTATTAATATAATTAGACTTTTGAAAGCTAAACTTAAACCGCTAGTGATATCCGTCTGCTAGCTAAGCTAACCCAGACTTAGCGTCAACAGACGCTACTTGTCGCGTCAAAACGACAGAAATGTGTTCACAACATGCGGGATCGATCTTAGTCATTCGAGCCAACTATCTGGAAAACATTAAGACATTTTCCAAATCTGGATTTTGAAGTACCTAAACGTTTTACTCTTTAGTCAGGTCAAAGTTCATTTAATAAACGTAGATCCAGAAATATGCTAATAACATATTTCGGACTTAATAACCCAATAACATAATGCAATTAAATACAATACAGTCTTAAAATTAAAATGTTAGAAGCAAATGTGTCTTCAAAACATGACGTGTATAAATCACTTTTCAAAGTAGTGGGATATTTATTTGTACAATAAATTCAATCCTGTTGCATTTGTTATTTATGTATTTATTAAAAGCTCATACTGTAATATACTCATATGTTTTACAATTTATGATGCTCCTGTGTTTATCAAGACACGTTTATATTCTGCAGCGTGTCATGAAATCAAGTGCAATGACTATTTCAACATATTAACAAAGATTTAGTTTGTTTTCAAGCTGTTTTCCTCAAACACCACAATGTATTCAGTGTCATATACTATATCTTTGACTTAACAGCTCATATTATTTTTACCATACTTGCAGTATGTTAAAAATGTATTGACAAAAAATAAAATATTTAGTTCAAATTAGTATGAGCGGTGTTACCAGGATGTTTATCATAACTGTTTGGCTGGATTTTCATATTGAATGTACGTCAGATTTTTGTGCAGGATGCTATTTGTATTTATTTAGATGTTTGTTAGATCGCTCTGTTGATGCATTTGCAGAACTAAAAGTTTGTGGCAATATTTGATTCAGTTCAACTATGGACATTGACTACTTCAGCGTACTTAGTTTTTTATTTAAATTGAATACAGCATAATACTTGTTTTTTTTTTTTTCAATTTAGCAAATAATAGTTAAATGTAAATCTTTTCAGAGCTATTGAAAATTTAACTGAGTTTCAGACATTTCATTAAAGACATTTTGTGAGTTCCCCCCACACTTTGATCAACATTTTTTTTTAACAATTATTGCTAAATATGAGGGCAAAGTCAATCATTACAAACAAAGCTAATTAGATTGAGATTTAAGATGTTTTTTTAAACAAAGCCATTTGCTTAAATGAGTCACTTTGATGCAGCCTGAAACCTCACCTTCGTCCTTCATCGTCACCTTGTTTCTGATCTGACAGGTACCTCAGTGATGAAGGCATCGCAGAACTGAAAGGATCTGCAGAGACTGTAACACACACTGACATTATTCGTATTGCACTTGATGTAAGTATTAAATGTGCAACCCTTTGTATTTTTTGCTGGGCATCTGATAACAGTGTGTTTTGAATTTCTGTGACAGTGAGCTGCAGCTTAGTGCTGTCAACTCGTGGGAAAATGGTTGTAAAACATATTAAAGGTTAAGTATATTAATATTTTAGTGGGAAAGCAAAGGAGCATGTTAAATTTGAGTCAATATGTGCTGTATCAGTTTACTCTTAGTATATATGTATGAGCCGTTGTTAACAAACCCAGCAATAGCGCCATCCATATTCAGATGCTTCAGCTATAATGAGATTGCCTTTCTATTGTCTTTTTTGACCAGTTTGTCTTTTACCAATCTCATACCATGATATTCTCATTAAACCTGAGACCCGTAACTCTGTCAGTTTTCATCATATGCATTGACAAGATGATGTAGCTGTTAGGATTTGGTTTTATGAGGATTTGCTGTTTAGTTTACCAGTTAACCAAGTTTCCAAAACAGCATTCGGTCATCTCCATATAACTGCATAAATAAGACAAATCCTATCTCATAGCAATGCAGAGAATCTGGTCCATGCCTTTTGTCTTACTTAGACTGGACTACTGCCATACAGTGGTTCAAAACACTGCTGCACAGTTTTAACTGGCTCCACAAGGCTAGATGTCATCACTCCTGTGTTAGCCTCCCCACATTAGGCTCTTTCATAAAGCATTTTTTGCAAAATGTCTGCACAGACTTTATACTGCCTCTGGTTGTTCAAAAACCACAGATGGAGTTGGTCCTGTCCTGCACCGGCATGAGCTTTCAGAAATCAAGCAAGCAGTGCTGAACCAAAATGTGACCAACTTCTCCCTCATATTGTTTTCAAAGCATGATGAATTACCTGTTCAACAGTCCTCTTTGTGTTTTTTATTTTATTTTTTATTTTCATTAAACTAGATGCGAAGTTGCTTTGTGTCATCATCGATCTTCTTTTGGTAACAAAACCATTTGCTGTTTGATCTGTCGACCAGGTAGTCGCACAGATCGTATGTAATCACATTACTGAGCTGCAAAGCTAGCTTACGTCTTCACATGTCGTCTGGCTCTGATACTACCTCACTTCGCAACAGGAACACACATCGGGAAGGGTTGGCTTCGACCCCCCTCATCGCCTCAGTCCATTCAGAAATCAGCCAGAAGGCGTCTAAAGTCCCAGCTTGATTACTTTCACAATTTCACTATTGGACTATTGGTTTATAACATTCCTTTTGGTCAAACCACATTATACATAAACAACCTCATCAGTCCATATCACCAGTCTCAGGCTCTACTCTTCCAGAATAAAACTTACTTGCTGTCCTGAGGATCAGCAAGTCTGGATGTGGAGGCAGAGCGTTTAGTTATCAGGCTCCCGCCCTGTGGAACCAGCTCCCAGTCTGGGACCAGGACTAATCCTAAACTCTTCTTTTTAAGTTATATTTTACTTGAATTGATTTGTTCTGTTTTTTCATTTAATCCAACTTAAATATTTTTTGCCATTGTTTTGTTTCTTCTTTGTCCATTTTTATTATATATATTGTATTTTTTTTTATTCTCATCTCTGTGAAGCACTTTGAATTTCATGAGCTTGAAAATCACTTTGCAAATAAAGATCAACTTAATTTTGATTACCAGATTGCAACACTGTGAAAAAAGCATCATAATTATTTATTTATGTAAGTGAGCAGCACATAAATACAAGAGACGAGCACAATCAACAATGATAGCATCACAAGTTTTATTTTTATTTTTTTTACCCCCAAAAGTTATGCACAAAATTAAGTACAGGAATACCATCTGATGTGATCGCTGTATCACATGAGTACATAACACAGTGGCTGCGTTCATTGCAAAAGCCTTGACCTTTACAGTTTGTCCTGCAGTGATGCCAAAGGAACTAGAGCTGCACTTGAACACATCACAGCGTGCCCGCTTAATTCAGCTTGCTTTGACTTGGAGACAGAGCATGTAGTAATATAACGTGAAAATCTTTGATAACATCGAAAGGGAAGATGTTGCTTTTCCTGGTTAATTAATAACCATGGTTGGCCCATTTCCTGTCTCTTCATTATTAGTTTAGAGAAATTGTGCCAAATTGTGTCTGCTTCAGGAAAAAGATCATTTTGATGCAGATGGGAGATTAGATTTAACATCAGAACTCTTACTGTTGTGTTTTGGGTTGATTTTATACTTCAAATTATCATTCAATAATTGTTAATTTTAATTCTAGTGTACTAAAACCAAGATGTATAAATTAGACCATTACTAATTTACTACTAATATTACCATTATTACTACCATTATCATGAAATTATGTTTATATTTTATATCAACAATTGAGCTGGTCAGTTCTGATCTGTTTTGGTAAATATTTGAATTGGGGCCTCTAAACAGGCTTTTGTTGTAAATCGTACAAATCCTCATCATCAAATTATTTGTTTCTTTTTGTTATTAAACCTAAAATGTGTGCTGAATGATGGGTAAGCCTTGCAACTACATGAGTTACTTTGATGGTAGTGGATCCTAATAAATAACCCATTTTCCTCTTAGCTCACTGACTAAAATGTGTCTATAGCTGCAAAACCTGCTACAGCTGTAATTAACAACTGCTGGCCCATGGGCCAATTTGATTTTGTTGGAGGGGGCCTTTTACAGAATCATGCCTACGTGAGTTATCTTATCTGTGGAAAAAATTATCAAGTACACTCGTCCCTCGCTATATCGCGGTTCGCTTCTTGCAGCTTCACTGTATCGCAAGTATTTTAAACCCGTTTTTTTTTTTTTTTTTTACATTTTGTGTACTGTACATGCTGTGCAGTACTGTACATTCATCTCAACATCTTCATGGCCATCGCTGAAGTGTTTAAGAGCATATGAAGTGTTTATAAGAGAGTGGGAAAGGTTTATAAAGCCTTAAACCTTTTTAAATAATAAAATAAATATAACACTGCTGCTTCATGCGTTTTCTCCTGGGTATGTGGATCACTGCATCCCTCTTTAAAGTAAAGCATAATTTTATAGTCTGCATAAAAAATTATCAGTTTTGTTTGATATGCAGTTGAGATACATTAATTATTTTTAATTAAAAACAAAGATTTTTACTTAAATTATCTTGTATTTTTCTAATTTTTATTGTTTTCAAATTGACTCACCAAATTTATTCTAAGCAACATGTGCTAAAAATATTTCAAAGACTTTCTGGTGGATTTGAGAGAAAGCTCACACTGTAAGGTTGGATGTTGGATAAATGAAGGAGCTAAATCTAATTAGCATGTTTCCATCCTTGTATTTGTGGCACCATTCACACATTTTCAGAAAATTTGACAAAGCAACTTCTAAAACTAGCCTATTCTATAGAGTATAAAAACCAATACAATTGAATTTCATGTTAGTTTTGATCAAAGCTTCAAAGAGCTGCATGTTGCAGATCCTTGTCCTAATCAAAATCAGCTGTTAAACACCAATGCCTCATTATTATTATTTTTTTCCCCCAGCTATTTTATTTTTTAGGATAAGTGGCACATTTGTTCTTTTAACACTGCTCTATTTTTCTTTGCAGAGAGATCTTAGGCCTCTTGGGAAAAAGTTTCTGCCGTCTGATGTTAACAGTGGAAGGACTGAGAAGGTAGGTGAAACAGAAGCCATGGTGTAATGATGTGAAGTGTTGCAGTTCCCAGCTCTGCCACTAGATGGCAATAACATACCGACAAATGAAAATCAACATACCATCATATACAGAAAATCAGCAGTTTCTTTTTATTGTTTTTGTTCATTGAAACTGAAGTTAACCACTGGAATGAAGACATTCCTAATATTAAAACATACATTTTTAACTTGTATTCCTCTCAAAGTGTAAACTATGAAGCCGTGTAGAAAAATAACCAACTCCAGCACTTCATTATTTTTCTCACACATTTTATTGTAACTCCTGAAGTTTTTTGCAGTTGCGCTCATCCATGTTAATCTGATGATTTGACTCTCAGGCTGATTTTTCTGTGTTTGCCTTTTTTGCACACGGACAGTTGGAGGGTCCATGTGTCCTCCAGGTGCAGAAGGTGAGAAACATTTCAGCTCCGAAAGACCACGAGGAGTCCCAGGGTGCACCGCGAATGCTGCGCCTACAAATGACAGATGGCCACACCACCTGTGTGGGATTAGAGGTTAAACATCTGTCCAAGATCAGGTGGGGGTTTATGTCTGTGCAAATAAATTGATGTGCTTTATTGTTTAGAAAGTTAATTATGACTAGTATCTCTGTTATAAGGGTTGTTTTAGTCATTTTTATTTATTTTATTTATTCATTCATTCATTTAATTTCAGTTAAAACAAGACTTATTCCATACAAATAAAATAAGATGCATATAAAATGAAAGGCAGCAGAAGAAGAACGAATTCTTATCATTTCTGCCCCTTCTAAACAATATCAATTCAAAACAATCTATTCAAACAATACAATGTAAGTTTTAATGTAAGTTTATCACCTTTTTTTAGCTTATCTCTTATATTCTTTATTTTTTATGCTATTAGTAATTACAAAAATGAGCTCATATGTCTAAATCAGACATATTTACATGATGAAAGGGCTCCTGTAAATTCATGAGCAGTTTTATAAATAAAGAAACAACAATTCAGATATGAACAGTAACTGCACTTTTAAAAATAAAAACGTGCAGCAGTAGTGTTTTATTTTTCTTTTCTGCCTAAAAGCCGACCGCTTCATATTTATTGAAAACTAATGAGTAAAACTCTGAGCGCACTATCCTCTTTCACCTCCTTCTCAAAGCTCTTGCCCTGCAACGTGACTAAATGTTGCCTTTATCTGCAATTTCCACGTGGCGGCAGCTGATTTAACAACTCGCAGCCTTAATTACATCTCCATTCGAGTAACGGTGGCCTTAGTGATTGCTGCCATGGTGACCAGCCAGTCTGTACAGGTGGAGTGGCCAGAATGTGGGCCTTGACTTCCTGATGGGAAGAGTAAAGAACAGAACAAATCTCCTCTGTATGAGCAGCACACACACACACACACACACACACACACACACACACACACACACACACACACACACACACACACACAGGCAGCAGTAGTTAATGTTTGTGATGAAAGTGTCCGCTTTAGCGTGAGTGGGTGGCAAAGAAGGACGAGAAGGATTACAGAACTGTTCACTGTGTAACACAGTGATGTAAAGAGAGGACAATTAAGCATTAAGTAGCAGCTATTGAGGCTGAATAGAGTGTTTGTGTGCGATTGAATCAAGGATAGCTTGTTCCTCTTTGCTGGGATGCCGGCATCACGAGAACGCCATCCATCCCAGAGGTTTGGAGTGAAATCCCTAATTGTTACTTTGGCTTCCAGCATCAGTAGCTGGAAATCCCTCTAAGTCCCTGCGCTTTCCTAATGAGAGAGGCAGAGGCCTTATCAGGCCTGATGAGATAGAGGCGCTTTTAATTTACCATGAGGATGGTGAGCAGCTGGGATTATTAATAGCTTTGCCACCCATCTGCTGGCACGGCTCCATGTCATTTAGAGAGTGCTATGGATACGGCAGTAGGGTGCAAGGCTTGGTGTCTGCATTTATAAAGTGTTAAACCCTTGAAATGTGAGCAGCAAAATGAAGAAATAAATATATATTGATTTCATTTGTTTACTGTCTAGCCATTTTAAGGTCTCTCTTATTTGTTTTTCAGTCTTAATACGCCTCCGGGAACAAAAGTAAAGCTTCTTGGTACAATCCAGGTTAAAAATGGGTTTCTGCTGCTTGATGACTCAAACATCTGTGTCCTTGGAGGAGAAGTGGATCACATGGTGGAGAAATGGGCTCTACAGAGGGTGAGGGTCAATATTTTAATGAGGGCTATACACACACACACGCACACATATTTATATATATATATATATATATAATGTATTTAGTTTAGTTTTTCATGGCTTGTTTGTCCTAGATTTTAAGATGAGCTTCTTTTGTCCTCCACCCTGCAGCGTCTGGCCAAACACAGCAGGAGTAACATTGGAGCAGAAGGTGGACCTCCACCTTTTGTGCCATTTGGCCAGGTGAGAGAACATGCAACTTGTACCAGGACACATTTTACTAAGTTTTTGATTGATTAGCTATAAATTAGAAAAATGTAAAATAAACAACAGACAATAATAAACACCATTTTCTAGAATAAATGTGTTTTTAACTGGGTTTTTAACTTCAATCTCAAATCCTTTAAGATTTCAACGTCTTAAACGATCCAAAGTCAAGTCTGTCTTTCTTTAATCTTTTTAAACAACAACTCTTAAATACTTCTTAGAATAGTTAGCTGATATTGAAATGTTGCCCTTCAAACATCATTTGATGTAAACGGTGAATCTGATTAGTACTCAAAAGCTGAGTCATCTGAAATCAAAGTTAAAAAAGGATTCTTTCTTTTTTAGGATTCAACGACGATTTAGTTTCGCTGCATACATTAAACATATCAGCCATAATGTTATAGTGATCTGCTTAGTCCTGAGTTGATCCATCTTTTTCCACCAAAACATCTCTGACCAGTCAGAGAGCAGGTTGGCATGATTTTACAAACTGGGCTTTCTTCTCTTGGATATGATCATTGGTCATAATATTATGGCTGATTGGTATTACACCAGGCCTTATCAGAAAACTAATGCAAATTTCAGTTTTTACATTTAAAGAGAGATTTTCAGTCAGCACTCGCATGACAAGGGCAACAGCAAGAAGAGGCGTCAACAGAACAAATGGGGGCGTGTCATCCAAAAGTGGGCGTGTCTGTCCTGAACTGGTTGTTTGGATTAGGCCAGTTATCTTACACGAGTCCAGAGTCAAGAAGTTACAAAATAGAAAAACCTAGCTTACGTTTGTTCAGGCTTAATTAGGTAATTAACTAGAAGCTAAAGAATAAACGGACTGTAACATTTGTACTCAGTTCTTTTTTTTATTAAAAATGTATACTTAAAGGTGAAGCATATCCACTCAGATATCCATTCTTCAGCTTACATTCAAAACTTTCTTTTATTATAAATTTGAATTACGCTGCAACTACCCATTTTCACTCTTGATTATGCATCTTCTTTGTCACAAAGTTTAAGGAAGGTAAAGACTATATTTATTAGGCTTTTTTAATATGTACATTAAGTTGCTTTATACACAATTAATTCTTGTATAACTCTCATCATGTTATGTACGTTTACACTATATTATGTAAAATTTGCAACTAGAATTCATTCACGTTGACTGTTTTTAATAATTATCAGGGGTAAAAAAAAAACAACACTTTTAATAAATCCTGAAATAAATGTCACAGTATGAATATTGTAATTAACTTATTCTTTAGCTTTTTGCTAATTACCTTTTTTAAACTAATGTAAGCTAGCTCTTAATTTGCAACACCTATTTTCTATCTGTGGATTGGACCAATCACATGTCACAACTCCAGTTGGACCCTCCCACTTTCTGGACGACTCCGCCCCTTTGTGTTCTGCAGAGACGCCTAATTTCTCGGATGGGGGTGCATCTATCACCTTGATACTTCGACTTTTTAACAAATAATTTATTTTGCTCCTCAGGCTTCATAGAGTTTGAGGAGGAGCATTTGGGAATATTCCAATATTTTTCAGATTTCTGGTGCAACTGTAATGAATCTTTGTGACTTCAAAGCATTAAGTCTAATTTAAACTCCATCCATCCATCCATCCATCCATTATCTTTACCCGTTTATTCCATTTTGGGTCACGGGGGTCGCTGGTGCCCATGTCCAGCAATCACTGTGCGAGGGGCGGGGTACACCCTGGACAGGTCGCAAGTCCATCACAGGGACACATAGAGACAAACGAGACAAACAACCATTCACTCTCTCACTCACACCTAGGGACAATTTAGAGTTACCAATCAGCCTAACATGCATGTTTTTGGACTGTGGGAGGAAACAGAAGCACCCGGAGAAAACCCACGCATGCACGGAGAGAACACGCAAACTCCACCCAGAAAGGCCCCTGGACCGGGGTTTGAACCAGGGACCTGCTCGCTGAGAGGCAGCAGCTCTACCAGTTGCGCCACCGTGCTGCCCCTAATTTAAACTGTTTCATATTAATGCATTTCAACATTACTGGCAAAACTGAGCTAATTTGTGCTCACAATTTTTTTTGGCTATGTCCTTTCTGCCATTGTCCCTCCCTTAACCCCTGCTATCCTAAACCAAAATCACAGGACTGAGTTGCCTGCCATGATTTACAGATGGATAGTAAAACTGGTGTGTGGTCTCACTAGACGTTAGGTTTCCCCTGAAAGGCTACATCGTATGATAGGAAAGTATTTGTCACATGTACAGTCTTGGAGTACTATCTCAATCTGCAGAATCATCTGTTACACATCCTGTAAAAAAAATCACCTAAAGTTCTGAAATGTTTCATTTTCTGCTTGAGAAGCTGTACATATCTGACAAGGGTCTGTTCTCACTCTCCTGTAGAAGTGTGCTCGGTTGGATGATGTAGACAGCCGAGAACTAGACCAGAGGAAGACTCTTCAGACTCAAAATGTCATCAAAAGCACCGAGGGGAACGACGAGTTCGAAAAGCAGCGAACAGCAGCTATTGCTGAAGTGGCCAAAACCAAGGAAGTGTGTAAAATTTCAATAAGTTTTGTATGTAAACACTGTTGCACTGTGTTGCTTGTCCTAGGCAACCAATTATTTAACTGCTTTTCTTATTGATTGCGAGTTTTGAACAAGCTGCTTCATTTATTTTCCATTTAAAACTCATGCTGCTTATTGGCATTCACTTTAACCTATATTGCCTTTGACGTTTGAGTCACTCTGTGAATTCAAATCATAATTGCATCATCTACCAGCCTTTATTTCTTGATTGATTGTGTTTTTCATTTTGGTCCAGCCCTGCTGTTTTATTGTTCTTAACGCTTTTTCTCTCCCTCTTTAGGCCCCGCGCACATTTGGTGGCGGAGGAAATGCAGGCAGTAATTTAACCAGCGCTGCTTCCTTTTCTCGGAGCAAAGACTCGTACCAGCAGAGGAGACGAGAAGACAAGCCTGAAAAAACAGAAAGCAGACAAGATGAAAACTACAGAGAGCTGGTGAGAAGGCACATCTGATTTGGTGTTTTAAGAGACCGTATCATATTAATTTGCATGTGTATTCACAGTTTCACACTAGTTTTCCAACTAGAACTTGTTTTGTATTTCTTCTTTGGTTTCTTTGGTCTAAACTCAAGTCCTATTTCATGGTTCAGTTACTTGGTGGGGCATTGATTGTAATATTGAAGGAATGTAAATGAACTGGAGGCCTGGTCAAATTTTCCAATCAAGTGGTAGTCAATTTGTCTTGCTCTGTGTTGTGTCCTGGCAGTTTCTAGTAGAAATTACCCTGCTTGGCAGTTAATATGTAAATAGAAGGGAGTTGGGTGTCATTGGGATTGGCCTAGGAGCGTGTTAGAAATGTTTGAAAGCTTAAATCCCTCCTCCCTTCTGCAAAATAAAACTAAATTAGTGTGTCTTGTGATGCTTTTCTTTTTCCACTTTTCATTCACTCCTTTCTGCTTCACTCTGAGCATTAACGTGTTTCTTGTACCACCTTATTATAACCATTATGCGCGAGGGAAATTTCTTCTGTCCGGGTACTTTTTCACATTTCCTGTGTAATATGTACAGTTCATTTTCTCCCCTTTTGGCTGCTAGGTGAACGAGTGCGCTCTGCGAAACATCATGGAGATGGGCTTTAACAGGGAGGCTGCTCGACAAGCTCTGATGGATAATAATAACAACCTTGAAGTGGCGCTAAACAGCCTACTGACAGGATCTTCTGGCAGCAGACCTGGCTCAGTGTTGGCTGAATCTAACAAGCCGCAACCTAGAGGTTCATACACACACAGAAACAATGCACTGTGTCGCACCATCCTTCATGTATCTACAAAGTTGGCAGAGTTAAAGAAAAGGTCGGGTAACGATGTGGAAGTCCCTGAAATGGGCTGAAAATCACCGGCAGCCTAATTAAAGGTCCACGATAGCTGTGTTGCTGGTTTGAGTCCATTTATCAAGAACTGTGTGCACCCCAGTCTGTATCACTGACTTCTTTTTACCCCCTAGTTCATTTTAGTTGGCTATTTAAGTTGAATGTTCTGTTTTTCTTGCATTTTGTGTATGTTTCAGTACAGAAAAGGGCTCGCAGTAATTTGAAACTTGATTAATCACACTGAGCTACTTGCAGCTGTGAACAGAAATACTTTTTTTCTTGTTTTTATTGTTGCTGTATGCAGAAATCTTAGTTTAGAAGGCTTCTCTCACTGATTGTAATTAAACTATATGACCATGGTGGGCTCAGATGAGCTGTTTAAAACATCATCAAGTGTCCAAGACAGTAGATTTAAGAAATGGTACCAGTGCATCCCACTTGAATTCATTAACCAAGAAAAGTTATCTAATATTTAGTGTCTATGTTAGAAGTTTATGAATATAAGGACATCATTTAATAAGTTTAGGGAAATCTGACAAATCTTGCTCATGGAAGTGTATTACAGTTTTATCTGCTTAGATGTCAGAATAGTTTTTAATCAACAAATTGGTTTGTAAAATGAAAACCAGTGGTGTAGATCAGTGGTTCCCAAAGTTGTGGTTGGGACCCCATTGTGTGTCCTGAGACATGAAGTTAGGGTCCTGAAAGGATTAAAAACTAGGGAGGCACGATATAGGATTTTTGGCCAGTATCTGATATGCCGATATGTTAAAACTTATTTGGCCGATAACCGATGCCAATACCGATATTTTATATATGTTCCTTTGTCAGAACATAGCCCTCTTAGTTAGGCTTATTTGCTACAAGAACTGTGCAACAGCTGAAAGAGCTGGTGACATATATTCAGTAACAGCCATATGATATGCACAGCACTTTAACTTATATTAAATGAAAAGTGTTAAATGTTATTTATTAGCATTAGTCACCTGTGATGCTGTCTCACTTGTGGAGGCTTGTTCCAGGTTCCTATAGCTGCAGTGTGGGATCCACTGCACTCCTGTGCATGAAGGACAGACTTTTTAAGTTCAAAGTTTTTGTCTATCCATTGTGCCGTAAGACTAATCATGCTAACGGGGCTAACGTGACGTCCAAATGTCTGTGGTAAAACTCACCCAACAAGTCGTGCTATCGGCTATTAGTTTCTCAGTGACGTTGGAAATGACGACTTGTAACTCGGGTAATGTTACGTCGGAAAAATATCTCCAACTGGGAACGATGTAGCGGGACTCAACGTAGTCCATAAATCTTCAGAATCCGACATCCTCACCAACGAAAAATAAAACTTCCACACCGCAGACATTTAGAATTTTCCTCTCCTAGTCTAGTGATTGTTATCATTATGCCCATGTTTATTTATATATGGTAATATAAACAATATTGGGATGATATATATTTTTTTAACGTCAATGTTTGGCAACCAAACGTAGTCAGGTCACAGGTCTCTTATTTTGTGGGTCAGAAGCTGAAAGGTTTGGGAGCCATTGGTGTAAAAAGTATATCAATGATTACTCCCATGTGCTGTTTGGTGAAAATAAAAAAAAACATGTGGTTACTTGAAAATACCTTTATAGAGGAATTTCTTGGCTAAACGTTTGAAGAAATCAAAACTTTGTATTCCATCAGCTTTAGCGCATCTGTGAAATATTTCATGGTTTGCAAATATTCTGTTGCTTCTAGACTATTGCTGTTTGCCATATAACAATGAATTCTGAATTATACCAGTAAATTCTCAAAGTATTTGTTTGGACGTCTGGCCAAAAACTAAACTGAACATGACAATTGGATGAATCAGTGACACTATTCATGCACACTGTTTTAAACAAACTGGTATTATTTTTTTTTAATATTGTTTTAACCTATCAAAAGTGTTACAAAATATAATTGCAAAGTAAAAGTTCTCCAAGCTGTATTTTATGTTATATTATTCATCCTTTATTTATACAGGTTAGTCTCTTTGATCCTCGAGGACTCATTTCCAAGAGACCTGTAAGAAAGTTTACTAAAAACAGACTATTAGCACGATTATATTAAACATTAGGATTTGAAATAGGTTTTATACTTTTATTTTCATCATTAAAACTAGTTTCATTTATGCCCTATTAAATTATATTCATTCTCTATACATCTGTAATCTTGTTTTGGTGTTTTCTGCAGCCAGAGGAAAGGGAAGAGGCAGATCCAGAAAGGAGGACGATGAAGACGAAGCAGGAGGGCGACCATCTGGACCAAGAACTCTATTCGACTTCCTTGAGTCCAAGATGGGAGTTTTCTCCATTGATGGTGGGGACCTTTTCTACATCTCATTCTTCATTTAAAACCTTTGCTTTCCCTACCCTATCTTTCTCTGGTTTGTTTTCTCAGAGCCAAAGAGTCAGCCATCACAGAGACTCCATGAGAACAAAGGAAACGTCTTTAACGCAAACTATCACAGCAAAGACACGTCTCAGGCCAAGTTCTCACATAATGACCACAGGCAGCAAAGGACTGACAGACCACCTCGCTTTCACAAGGACATTGATTTTCCCAAACCTGGCCAGGAGCCAGCCTCTAACTGTATAACCTCCCTGATGGCTGTTCATACCCAGCAGTGGAAAGGCCAGGAGAGATGGCCCCAAGCTCCAAATGACCGGAGAGAAATGAGAGATGAACAGATCGATCCCTCTGTCTTAACCACGTCTCTCACACATTCAAAAGAATCTCAACAGCAGATTGAATTTAGTGGAGCTTACCACCAAAGGTCCCGAAATGGAAATAGTGGTGGTAATATATCTGGACCGTCTTATAGGAGGGGGCCTAAAGATAACACACCCACATCTAAACTGAGTAATTCTGCAGTGACTGAAGCAGACGGAAAAGGAATTTACAGAGGTGTGGATCGAAATGAAGACGCCAACAACGGCAGGAGGAAGGGGAAGGCAGATCGTCCGAACTCGGATTACTTTGACAGACAAAAGGACAGTGGGCCATCAAACTTTAACCAGAGAGGAGGAAGTTCAGGGACTTCCCAAGATGTGGGATTATCACAGGACCCTCGGATTACCACAGGCAATCCTACTCATTTCCAAAATGGAGAGGTGGAACATAAAAGGACAGGTCCGATCAAGCCTACAAACTTCTGTCCACCGTACCAGGAGCAGCAACCCAAGAAGAACTATCCCAACAACGCTGGGTATAAAAAAAGGTCAGGGCAAGGCAAAGGTCCAGGTCCTCGAGGACCTGAGAGAAGTCACGTCTTTGAATACACCTGGAAACCTGGTGACCAGTGCCTGGCTCTGTACTGGGAGGACAACAAGGTGCATTGCTTGGGGACATTCCCACACAGTCCTATTACAGTCTTTTTTAATAATTAACATAAAATGCCCAATTGTACTTGTAGAAACTGCACTGAAACGGTTTTGTTTCTCTTTTCCTGCATCAAGTTCTACCATGCCAGAATAGATGCTGTGCACCCATCTGGCTCTACAGCCGTGGTGGTTTTCAGCGATTATGGGAACTGTGAAGAGGTGCTCCTTCATAACATCAAACCTGTTCCTGCTGACATGATGGTAACAAGAACTCCAATTCGTCATTCATTCATTATTAACATCACAACACTGGCTAGTCAGTAACTGAACAGAAAGTTGATCAAATTTAAGTACGTCTAATCTGATCACCATGATTATATGAAAACTGCATCAACAGGAGGAAGATGACGGTTACTATGACAGTTCACTAGAGTTTCGTCGCGGGGGTGACGGACAGCCACGGCGCTCCCGACCCACTCAGCAGTATTACCAGCCGCCCAGGGCGCGTGATTGATGTGTCTGTGTTTACACTGGCAGGTAAATAAATATCAAACTGTGTTTCCTGCTGTAATTACATGTCACATGTTGTTCTGTTTGTTTTATTCATTTCTTTGTATCCTTGATTTTTATTTTTTGAATGTGCATTGAGTATAATAAGCATTTAAAGGTTTAGGCTTCTATTCAAAGGCATGTTGGTGTGCCCATTTGTTGCAATGTTTCCTAAACATTTGCCAAAAATAAACGTACTGTATTTTCCGCCGTACACGTCGCATCAGTTTAAATATTTCTAAAAAAGTGGAAAAATCCATAAATACGTCGCTCCGCCGTATACGTCGCTCCGCCGTATACGTCGCATCTATTATACGTCGCAGCTGACACGTAGCGTTTGTTACGCGTCACCGCTGGCAACCCAGAAATGTGGTCCAAAAATCGATGGGCTGCCAAATGGCGTCCATGGGAGTGTGCACGGGAGGAGTTTAACAAGAATTCCACAAGATTAACACTTAAAAACAATTATTTGTTTGCTCGACTTTATAGAAAATGTGTCAGTCTAACCTTTGCTTAATAAATGCACTTTGACGGTCAAATCAGCTGTATTTCAATAGCCGATATGTGGAAGTAAACACATGCACGTGACAAGTCGCTGTGCAAATTTATCAAGATAAACACCTAAAAACAATTATTTGTTTGCTCGACATTATAGCAAATGTGTGTCTCAGTTGAACTTTTACTTAATAAATGCACTTTAATTGTCATATTAGCTGCATTTCGCCGGGGAGGTACAGTTGGTTTAATTTGCTCCAAGCAGCGAGCAGAATGAAGATGGTACTGTGGCAAGCCGATTGCGTCATTAATGGATAGTGAAGATTCTCAGCCATCCAGGACATGGTAAATTCAAAACAGTTAAAGACAAAAACAATAATGTATAAAATATTATAAATAAAGTCCAGTTGTTTTTGTCTTGAACTTTTTTGAATTTGTCATTCTAGCCACGTTTATCTATTACATCAGGGGTGTCAAACTCACTTATAAAAGGGGGCCAAAATTAAAACCTTTTTCAAACTAAGGGCCAATTTCAGAAACAACATTAACTCAAGTTAGATACCCAACATCTTTTCTTGGTTGCAGATTCCTCAACAAGAGTTTGATTGGTTGCATTTGACATTCTCTGTTGCACTTTTGACATCACAATCAAAGATTAGTGGAAAAAAAATTAAAGTGATAAAAATATTTTACATTTGAAATAACATATTGAGGGCCAGATAAGATGTCAACGAGGGCCAAATTTGGCCCCCGGGCCTTGAGTTTGACACACATGTATTACATGATACAACGACATGCCTTACTACTACTACTATGCTGCCATCAAGTGGCTGAAAATGGTACTGTTCAGTTTTTTTTTTTTCCCAGTCAGAATGAATGAAAACGGTCATATCTTAGCCAAAAATTGGGTTTTATATATATGGGGGGGAAAAAAATCCATAAATACGTTGCTTCGGCCTATAAGTCGCAAGGCATGCAAATTATGTAAAAAAAAAAAAAAAACAAGACTTACAGGCGGAAAAATATGGTAAGTACTTGTATTTACATTTCACAACCCCATTTCTAGAAAAGTTGGGAGTGGTTTAAAATGTAAATAAAAACTCAATGCTATTATTTGCCAAATTGGTCCTTGTACTTTTGGGAAACCGTGAGTTAAGTTTGAATTTGATGGCAGCGACACGTCTTTCCCGCTGTTCTTATGATTCAAAACCTTTTCTGCATTTATGGAGACAACACTAATGCACCTCCATACAATCAGAGAGGCAAGTCTTTGTACTGTATGCAGAAAACAGTCTAGACGGTCCCTCTCCTCTTTAGTATAGAGGGCATGGTGTTTGTGGTTTCTAAACAGAACTTCAGATTTGGACTCGTCTGACCACAGAACAGTTCTGGACTTTGCCCCTGACCTTTTGAAATGAGCTCTGGTCCAGAGAAGACAGCAGCAGTTTTAGATGGTGTTCACATCTGGCTTCTTCTTTGTCTGATAGAGCTTTAAGCAGCGTTTGTGGATGAACTGTGTTTACAGACGACAACCTGTGGAAGTGTTCCTGAGCCCAGAACCAGACCTGTTTTTAATGCAGTGGCCCCTGAGGGCCTAAAGATGAAAAACGTCCAGTACTGACTTCCATCCTCGTCCTTTGAGCTCAGAGATTTCTACAGATTCTTGATATTTTTGACGATGTCAACATTTGATGTTTACCATGTTCCACTGTGAATAAAACATGACTTTATGAGATTTGAAAATCATTACCTTCTCATTTTATGTACATTTTGCACATCACAACTTTTTAGAGTTGGGGTTAAACGGTCTAAAACTGTTTCACAGCGTCGATGATGATCTCATACCCAGATATATAATAATGTTTTTATTTTCTTTATCCAGCAGTGCTTGTCCCTCATTCCTGGACCTTCTGCAACAATCCAGAGAGCTTCCTGAGTTTTTAAGCGTCCCCATCGTCATGACATCACAGAACTCCTCAAAGGGCTTGCACATGGCGCAAAATTAAAAGAACTGACTTAAGCTTCAGTTTATTTTTGTCAAGACCATATCTACAGTACCGGGGTATATGTTTTGAAGGTTTGTTTAATGGATATGTAAAAAAAAAAAAAAAGCTGTATTTAGCAGGTTTGTTTGAATATTTCAAACTTGAGTGATAAAATAAACTAATTTCAGGGCAGAAATTATTCCGGCTCCTTGGTGTGATTTTGGTCTGCGTGGCCTCGTGAGTGAAAGGTCTTGGAGACAACTTTAAACCTGGTTTAAACTCTTTCAGGAGTGAAGTGGGTGTTTTGTTCAATGTGATCGAACGACATATTTTTGACCGAAACTGTTTATAAAAGAAAATGTCTTTATTGTCATTGTAAGGATTGTATACAATATCAGAAGAGCCTTCCTAGTTTGATGAACTTTTCTAATTCAAAAGGACACAAGTAAAACATTTAAATTGATGGATTGCTAAACATAAGTAGATTATTTAAAAATACAAATTCAAATGAACTACATTTCAGTTTTAACATGAAATCAAAGATTTATGGCCTAAGATTAACAACTCTTATTACAGATTGTTAATCATGATGAAGAAAAAAATCCTAAATAACAGAGACAGATCTGACAATACGCATTAGAAACAACCGTAACTTAAAGACGTTTGCAAGACAACAAACATAAGTACTAATGTGAAAATAAAATGTTTAGTTTTAAGTGATCTCTACTAATGTCCAGGTTTTAAACCCGCCTCAGCTGTAGTTCCTACCTGTCTTTTAGATTAGTTATTTCTCCTCTTGCAGATAAGCTTTACATGCCCATAGCGAGCAGCCCCGAGCTCATTCGTTGTGCTCTTTG